ATTTTTACATAGATTACAAACATACAGAGCGGTTTATACTTTCTATATCGTTCCATTTCACATTCACATGTTCATCATTCTTTTTAAGCAAAATTTGTTCAACAACGTCCGACATACTTGACGATGTACGGTTAAAACACAAACTAACATTAATACAAAAAGTGACTGTGCAGTGGTCGGAGTAACTGTTAAAATCACCGGTTTTAAAACTGTTTTGCAAACAAAACCACTTTCTTCTGTAAGTTATCTATGACACGAGTTCCTCTAGCGTTATAAAAAGATATACTACATTCTGGATCAGCTTAATGTCTACCGTTAACAATTCGAAGTGAAGAGGTTTTGGACATAGTTATATCTGGCGGCCAAATTGATAGACAGTCTTTTCCATATTTTTACGTTTTTCATACTATTTTTATCAGCTGATAAATGATCTGTCTAATTATTTAATTTTCACAGTGAAATAAAATCAATTTGATAAAATATGTTCATGTGAGATGATGTAAGGCTAAGCTTGATTTTGTTTTAATCAATCAGAACTGTAATATCAATCTCAATTGCATTCAAAGCCGCCGATTTTCTCTAGAATAATTGGTTGTGTTTATACATCTTTGGTACATACACTAAGTTATTAACAAAGCTACAGACTTGGTATAATTATTGCGAGCAAATTGTACCAAATAAGAGATGAACACTATAGCTTTGCGTGAAAGACCCCATTAGAATGGCACGCAACCTTGTTTGCATGTGTTATGTCAAGACAATGTGTGATTTACTCCCACCTATATATACGTCTAAAAGATACATGTATCTCGCGTGAAACACCTATGTGGGATACGTGTTTTTCTTACTCTGAACCTTTTCCGTGATATTCCGCGGAACGTTCACACAATGATGTAATTCCCTGCGCTCTAACGCTCAAAACTGACAATCCGAATTATAAATATTGTATTTTATTGTTATATGTCTTTTTTTGGTGTTGTTAATATATGTTAAAATATAATCTACACTGTAAAATACATTTTATTCTTGGTAAGGACGGACTACAATGTTTATGCCAAAGCAATCAAACGTAGCATGAGTAATACAGAGCCCATAGTTATTTGGGGCCCAGATGGAATACGTTTAGACTATAGCGAAATTGAATAGTGTTTCGAACTAAATGGTGTGCCTAGATTGGGACTAGTTACAGAATCGTAGCCCTCGACTGAGGTAACCCGATCACGCTATGTTACAGGTAATTGATTTTATTTACACATTCACCCATACATTTTAAACCGGATTGCCTAGTCTTTAATTTGGTTAGGTTCAAATGTGACATCCGGGTTGAATGAGTTAATGGCCGAGGTTTCCCTCTTGTGTAGTATTCATGCCGTAAGCAAGTGACACCACCTCAAGAACGTAAGATTTTAGTACATGCTTGCCCTTAAAGTATTGCATGGATCTTTAAATTTTAGGTATACCTACGCTTCTTTACTTTTTCTGTATATCTTTCTTTCTAAATATGGCCTTAGTTTGTATATTTATTGGTGCATTTGCAATGTCGTTGTCCTTTTTTACGAAAATTTCGGTTAAGGGGTGGGAAAAGATGAGGCATTAATTATCTAGGTACATGCATGTGGAATATGGGTATTCCAGCCTCGGTTGCAGCATTCGTTGTCAAAACCTCGGTTTATACCCACTTACCTACACATGATCAATCTAATTCGCATGCGTAAATTTCATTAACCAATCAAAGTTGTATGTTTTAATCAATCAGCTAATCATGCTTGTTTGTCTGTCTGCTTGTCGGTCTTTCTACCAGTCTCGTCTTTTGTTCTACTCTAGCTTGTTAATCTTGTGATAAGATAAAAACTAATAACCTACTAATTGTATTACACTATTAACCCTGCCCTCATACAATTGATCCTCCTAATCTACCACTAACACCACTCTATTCTCCTATCAACACTACTGCTTCACTACTCTACACTGTACTTTAGCACTATTTATATGCTTATGTTATATTATAGACAGTATTTATCTACTATGTCTCTACTATTAACAGAACACCTGCCATTCGTTTTCCAGCTTATTAGTTGCGTGATACGAACTTTGAAGTTTTCATTTTATCGTGATTTTTTGTTTTGTCTAACAATCAAAATCATCACCCAGAGGGTAGAAGATTTCTCTGCTACACCCCAGGATAGGGAATCATTATTTTTCTCTGATCCTATTATTTCTGTCGCAACTTCTTGTGCCGTCATCATCTTTTAATCATCATCATTATTATCATCATCATCATCATCATCATCATCATCATCATCATCATCATCATCATCATTAAATCAAAATAATCTCAGAATCAAAATAATCTCAGAATATTCTTACATCATCGTTATCATCATCATCATCATCATCATCATCATCATAGAAAGTCGTCTCAAAGCGGTTCATAAATTATTATCCGTAGTTATAGGGCATTTGCAACCAGCCAATATCTTTCTCAACTCCCTGGGATACATTCAACCGGTGCTGCTATTTCGGCGCTAACAGCTAGCATTCAACAATTCTAGCACTGCCCGACCAAGTATCATTTACAGCTGAGTGACTGTTGACTGCGTAAAGTGTCTTACTCAAAGATACAACACAGTGCCGTGACGTGACTCGAACCTGCAAACTTTCGGTTGCGAGCCCGTCGTCCTACCACTAAACTACCCCGCATCCGTGTACATTTGGCTTAATATGTACCATAAGGACGTCTGTTGTGGGTAAAAACGTTCCTTTTTACGTTTTTTTCTGTTTCTGATCATTGATTTTAGGAAATTGGTAAATATATCAATTGTTGTGAAAAACTTTTCATTACTTACACGCGGTTTCATATATTTCCTCATAGATTCGGTAGTTCTTTTTCGAAGCAATACAATATATAAGGGATATTTTATTGTTCCCCTTTAAATAATATTTTAATATTTTTATCGAATGTGGCAGATATATCACGAATGTGCTTGCACGACAGAAAATATTGAAGTATTTGTGTCATAGGTGTCAATATGATTAATATATATAGAGAAACCATTAGATATTCTGTTTATAACATATTACAAACTTTAAAGTGAAGGTAACGGCCCTGAAACATATAGTGGAAGTTACTTAGTACATCCAAGTGACTTTTACTAACGTCAAACGCCTACAGTATGACGTCACAATCGAAGACATTTCCGAAAACACATTTCAAATGCTTTGCTTGTTATATTTTCATTAGCTATGATTATGAACTTCAGTTGGTTTCAATCCAAAACAGACATATATGCACCGTTGAAATATTCTATATTTCTTGCTGCGGTGCAAAAAAGATATTATTTTATGAGAGTAATTTTCGATATTTCAGTTGTAAAAATGCAATAAATAACATAAAGAAGGAAAGACATCAGGTACAATTTGTATCCATAACAGTCATAAACGTCAGAAGTCGAAAGCTGAAAGCTAGAGCAAAGTGCCCATTAACATGTACGGTCAAATCGATCCTGTAGAAAAACAAATGGAACTTTTCGACAATGAATTCAGGAGCTTTACGGGTTGTTTTTGAAGTTAAAATGTTCATAAATGCAATGCATACGGAGTCCAGGAAATCTCAAATATTATTGATAAAAACATACATTCCTGAACGAAGATCTTATACTCATCGACATTAATAAGTTACAGATGTGGATTTTTTTAAACTTTCATGACATGTGTGCGAACTATACCTTAATTACACTTGAACTCACAAGCTTCTGAACAGCAAAATTAAATCATTTGCAACCTCAAAAAAATGAGAAATTGGACAGATTAATACAGGGAAAACATATTGTCTATAGTACAAACTTCCAACTTCTGAGTTTAAAGTAAGGAACGAACATCTGGGAGATGACATTTCCATGCCAAATGGAATGCCGTAAAAATAGTGATGTTTGTGTTATTTTTGTTGCAACTATCAAAACCATTAATTGGAGACGTCATGCGTTGGGTTACGTTACATTGTGGAGCTAAGATGTTTTGATGATGTAAAATGAGAGGTTTACATGTGTAAATCAGAAGCGCAAGAGACGATGACCATCTTAGGATATACTTTTACCAGTAAAGTAAATACCGTTATTTCATTATTTGTAAAACCATAAAAGCTTTGTTATGTATTGCATTGGTCCCGTTGTTTCCCCAGAGCATACGATAACATATCCTTATTTTTGCAGTTGAAGACATGATTATAATTATCCATCACTTAAACTTACAGAAACTATCGTATTATTGCAAAGCATATATGATATTTCATCCGGAAAATGGTGGAAAATCCTAAAAAGTATACATTTCAGAGCTAATAAGTTCGTTTTCAACATGAGAGCAAGTTTGCGTTATATTAACAAAATGACGCACAGATATCCACGTTCTTTGATAATTAAGTACACTGAGACGATTGATAGAACTAAAAAGACTTTGGTAAATATTCCGAATGTCATTTTTCACTACGAACATGTAACTTTTCTTATATTTTGAAATATATGCGCACCTTTGCCGCGTTTTAGGAAAGTTCTTTGAAATGGCTGATCGCGTATAAGGCATATTATTGTCTTTGGAATGTGGAACATCGTTTTCTGTAATCAGGTCTTACAGAGTTACATTTGTATGGCATTTTATTCATTAACTCTATTGAATATCTTTCGGGGATTGGGAACTATGGATTGCTCGTAATACTCCGCCTGAATGTATAGATTATAATAAAACATTTCGTGTAACCATGTTCAGAACTGTTATATTATTAAACCTTTCCACCAAGAACTGATATAATATATATATATAAAAATATTTCATGTTATATTTGATATATTGTTGTCATTTGTTACATGTAGGTACTTCGTTACTGCGGAGAATCATGCAATACAACATTGCTAAACATTTCCACTAAAAACTGATATTGTATATATATTTGCCGAGAAATACATCCTGTCTTTGCACACCAATTCACAAACCCTTATATTTCTATATAGATCTGTTGAGAACTGTCCCTAGCGGCGTTACTGCAAGTATCAGCAACCTTGACAACCTGTGCTCCACAACTGTGACCACATCAAACCAACAGACACAATCTACTTGGCCCTCGTCGACAGCTTATACACCCACATCCGCAGTGACTGGTATAGCCAACCTTGAACCTAGCAGCACTGATCCAACGGCAGTCATTGAAACCTCGTCCGAGTCAACACCTCCGCTGTCCAATGTCGTTACGTCCGTGAAGCTGGAAATAACATCACTACCGACGGGTAGATTATGTTTCAATTATTCAATCCTAATTACTGAATACGATACAAAATCACCTACACGTTCGTAACAAATAGTGCTACGTAACCATTTATTGAGTCACTGAGTGTTTAAATATTTTACTTGATTGACCGACATGAAATAAATTCAAAATTATTTTTCAGCAAAACTGATGTTGTGTTTTCAGAATCTATTTTCGAAATCAATACTGCTATCTAAAATGTATATGTTATCATGCAACACAATAAAACTGTAAGCTATATTGGATAAATCTTTCCGACAAAGGTCATACAAGTGACCCATGTTCGTAAACTTTTGAATTTCTAAATAGTGACTAGAAAGTGTACAAGAACCAACGTTTGTGTTCTAAATGTTCAGTAGCATATTGACTGATGTTTTGAAAACGTGACATCATTTTGGTGTTATAAATGACATAATTAAATTGACATTTTGGTCAGTGGAACAGTAATTACAGCCAAACACAGTCGGCATCATACATTGCCTTACGGAAATTAACATTTTAGCTCATCTGGTTCGAAGGACCATGGCGAGCTTATGCCATACCACATCGTCCGTCGTCCGTCGGCCGTTGCCAGTCCGTCTGTCAGCTTTTCCTTTAAAACGCTACTAGTCCTGAACAGCTTTATAAATGTTCACTACATTTGGCCTCGAGCATCTTTGGGCAAATGGGGCTATTTTGTAGCCCTTGGTGAAGACGGGCGGGGCCCAATAGGGGAATTTGATGAAGATATTTAAAATCCTCTCCCCCTGACCATTTGAGAAAAGGTCTAGAGCATCCTTGGGACTCAATTTTGTATAAACGAAAGATGTAGTCCCTTTGGGGTGGAGGGGCGGGGTCCAATAAGGGAAATTTAGGCAAATCTTTAAAATCCCTTTCGTTTAGTATGAGTTATTTTAACCGAATTTGGTCCAAACAAATCATTTGGCAATGGGGACTCCATTCGTTTTAACAGAGATTATGGCCCCTCTCGGAGCAAAGGGGAAGGGTCCAGTGGGTGGACATATCAATACATGTTTAAAATCCTCTTCCTTCAGTTTGGTTGGAGAAATTTTAACCAAATGTCAATTTTGTATAAATACAGGGGTGCTTTTAGGGGGCAGAGGGGCGACCCCTATAGGGAAAATTGAAATTAATGTTGAAATCCTCCCCAATTCAAGGGGCAGAAATAAGACCTAATGAGGGACGGGTGTTGCTGAGAGAAAGAGCCAATAATTGGAAATAGTTGTTAGCCCGTAGGAAAATGAGCTTATGACATGGTGCGTCGTCCGTTGTCCGTCCGTCATCCGTCCGGTGTCAACTTTTTACTTTAAACAACTTCGTCTCAGTAACCAAAACGCCTAGGACGATAATATTAAGCCAGTAGCATGCTTGGATAAAAGGCTACCAAGTGTGTTCAATTGAATGACATTCGTCTATTTTCAAGGTCCCGGGGTCAAATATGTGGTAAGCTTTAAACAATTTCTTCTGAATAACCAAAAAAGGCCTAGGGTGACGACATTTGTTCTGTAACATGGGGTAGGATCGATCTCTGGCTTGGGATTGACCAGTGGGATAGTATTGACCAGTGGGGTAGGATTGACAAGTGGGGTACTATTGACCAGTGTGCTGGGATGAAAGGCTACCAAGTTTTTGTTACAAACGAAGGACCTTCTACAATTTTCAAGGTCACATGGGTCAAATATGTTAAAAACCTTTAAACAATTTCTCCACAGTAATCAAAATGTCTAGGATGATAATATTTGGCCAGCAGCATACTTGGATAAAGGGCTTCCATGTTTGTTCAATTTAATAACCTGTGCCCATTTTCAAGGTCACAGGGGTCAAATATGTTAAAAGTTTTAGTCAACTTTTCCTAAATGGCCAAAAGGTCTAGGATGATGATATGTGGCCAGTAACACTCTGTGATGAAGGGCAAACAAGTCTGTTTAAATGAATGGCATTGACTTCTTTGCAAGGTCACAGGGGTCAAATATGTGCTTATCTTTAAACAAATTCTTCTGAATAACCAAGAGGCCTAGGCTTATGATATTTGGCCAGTAGCATGCTAGGATAAAGGGCTTACAAGTTTGTTCAAATGAATGACCGTGACTTATATTCAAAGTCACAGGGGTCAAATATATTTAAAACCTTCGTATATCTTCTCAGTAGCCAAAAACGCCTAGGATGGTGATATTAAACCAGTAGCATGCTGGGGAAAAGGGCTACAAAGTTTGTTCAAATGAATGACCTTAACTTATATTCAAGGTAACAGGGGTAAAATTTGTGGTAAGCTTTAAACAAATTCTTCTGAATAACCAAAAGGCCTTGGGCGACGATATTTGGCCTGTAACATGCTGGGATGAAGGGCTACCATGTTTTTGTTATCAACGAAGGACCTTCGACATTTTTCAAGGTTGCAGGGCTCAAATATGTTTAAAATATTTAAACAACTTCTTCTGAATAACAAAGAGGAATAGGGCAAGGATGTTTGGTCAGTATCATGCTTTAAAGAAGGGCTACCAACTTTGTTTAAATGAATGACCTCAACTTACATTTAAGGTCACAGGGTCAAATATGTTTAAAACCTTTATACAACTTCTCCTTAATAATCAAAACGCCTAGGATGATGACATTTGGCCAGCAGCATACTTGGATAAAAGGCTACTACCAAGTTTGTTAAAATGAAAGGCTTTGACTTATAATCAATGTCACAGCATAGGGGACAAATATGCTTGAAAACCTTTATACAACTTCTCCTCTGTAACCAAAACGTCTAGGTTGATTATATTTGCTTAGTAGTATGCTAGAAGAAAGGGCTACCAAGTGTGTTCAAATGAATGACCTTGCCTTATATTCCAGGTCACATAGGTCAATTATATTGAAATTTTAAAACGACTTTTCTTTATAACGAAAAGGACCAGAGTAATGATATTCGGTCAGTCGCATTCTGGGATAAAGGGCTAACAAGTTTGTTCAACTGAGTGATCTTTGCCAATTGTCAAGGTCACAGGGGTCAAATATGTTTAAAACTTTTAAACAACTTGTTATTCATAAACAAAAAGCCTAGGGTGATGATATTTTATCCAGTAACATGCTGGAATAAAGGTTTACCAAGTTAATTTAAATCAATGACCTTGACTTATATTCAAGGGTTAGATATGCTTAAAACCTTTATTCTACATCACCTCAGTAACCATAACGCCTAGGATGATGATATTTAGCTAGAAGCATGCTGGATGAAGGGCTACAAAGTATGTTCAAATGAATATCCTTCGGCCATTGTCAAAGTCATAGGGGTCAAATACAATACTTTGTATGTTGAAATCTTTCCACAATTTCTGAATAATCAACATTGTATCCTTTGTTTTCGGATGAATGCCTCTATGAAACAATATTGCATCCTTTGTTTTCTGATGAATGTCTCTATAAAACAACATTGTATCCTTTGTTTTCTGAAGACTGTTTCTATAAAACAATATTGTATCCTTTGTTTACTGATGACTGTCTCTATAAAACAACATTATATCGTTTGTTTTCTGATGATTGTCTCTATAAAACAACATTGTATCTTTTCTTTTCTGATGACTGTCTCTATAAAACACCATTGTATCATTTGTTTTCTGATGACTGTCTCTATAAAACAATACTGTTAGATAAACTGTCATTTCTGTTACAATATAACACATCTGGAAATGTCTGGCGTATTTTTATATTAAATGGTTTACAAATGAACACTACTCTTTTTTCTTTCCTATCCTATACTTGTTAAATGTAAAATTCCTACATTATAATGTACCTCCATAAATACATGTATACAGCAGCATCTCCGGACAGGACAAGCCCAGGTACAATTGTGCCGTTTATGTTTTAGGGATTAATAAACTATCATAATACTTTTGTATATTATGTATATTTGTATATTTTTGTCTATATGTTAATATCAATATCAGAATGTAGGAATATCTAATTTGAATTTTGTTTACAAAGTTATGGAGTTGTTCAAAGGATGCAAGAAGAAAAGCTGCCTTTTTTTGGCCACTCGATTTCTGGATTGATTCTTTTTCATAAAATATGTCAATGCCTTGCCCAAATAATATGAAAAAAGCTAAAATTGCTTCCCCCGACTCGAAGGATAAAAAGTAAATGGCAGTTGTATAGGACCATTTTACTCTGAAGAGAACGATCGACAATTCCGAGGCGGCTGCACGTCTCAAGTAAAATAATTAATATAATCATGTGTCTGCTTCCAGCAACCGAGAAAACAGGAACGATATCAGCGACATGTTCAACATGTTCCTGCATTAAACCCACCCCGGTAGACCAGAACAAGTTGGAGGAAAGTCTCAGTAAGCTTAAAGAACAGCTACTTATCAACCCTAAGAAGCTGTCTTCATATAAGCGAGCTTTGACGAGTGCCCATGACGACCGACAATCTGCAGCTAACATTGGCTATATTGGCATCCTCGTCCTATGTTTGGCTCCTGGGTTCATCATTCTGTTAGATATGGGCAGGCTTATCAGGGAGTTCAAACAATTCATAATACGCCTCAGAAACTCTCAACGCACAACTGCAAAAATTACTCCAATCGAACGCACCTGAACACGCTTGACAATTGCAAATGTGATTATGGCATATTTCTCTCTCGCTGACTCCGAAGCATTTGGCGTTTTTTGTGCAACGTGTTCTTAGTCAATCAGCTTTCTCAAAATCCAGACTCTTTAATTTAAACGGAGGTATCTTGTAATGTAATGTTCACTGCATACATATTCAGCCGTCTTTTCCATGTCAGATTCCATTTTCATCTCTCAATATATACCGTATTTATATATTTGTTTATGTTTGTGTTAAATCAAACTTCTATTTTAACTTATTCCTCTCTCGGCTTTTCACAATTTGCTGTTGGGCACACATTGTCTCGTCTCAGAACTATAAGATATCTTACCGTCATTTTTCTTAACGATTGTATATCAAATTTCATATTTTCTATATTATTTCAAATATGATTTTTGTTTAAGCTTCATTTTTTTCTTTTTTCCTTTGTGTATTGTTCCCTTAGCTTATGCATTTCAATCTCTTTTCCAGAAGAGTTTACTAAGGGGTATAAACAAAATACGCAATGGATAATAATTTTTGCATTGCTAATGAATATAAAAGGAATATGAAATGTACAAAAGACATTTTGACTATTTACCTAGGGATATTTAGAATTGTTGCCGGAATATTATGAGAGAAAACATAGTTATAAGACACATTTAGATTATTAGGACAGCATCCAACTGTATATTCCTATTTAACCAAACTAAATGAAGTATAACTTTCATTTTGAATATGTGGATTTTACGATGACAGCAAAATTACAGTTTGAATAAGCATAACCTTAAATTTGGAAAAATATTTGCAGATCAAATATACAAAAAACATTAATGTACTGTCGATTTCATAAAGAGACTTAATACAAATATTTTAGACGTTTAGAAATTTTACACAATTGGAATATTCTGCAGACCTCAATTATTTAATATTTTATTCAAGCTGTCGATATTCTTTTACTACACAGCACCTACCTGCAACCTTCTTCATAACTGGTTTTCTAGCATTACTTGCGAGGTTTAACACGTTCCCTATAAGTTAATTTGACGGAAAAACTACCCTTGTTATTGCGAATACACTTAATCTTTGACGGGATAGCAGTGGATATATGCCTGAAGCTTATTAATCTGCCAAAGGTCATTACTAAATAAAATACACAAAAATAGAAAAGTTTCAGGTAACTGAATTAAGACCTTACACTTGAAGTAACTTTGTACTGCATTTAATGCCTTTCAACAAAAGTTGTGATAATTGCATAGGAAAGATAATAATATACAGCATTTGATATAGCGCCCTATCTAGCTAAAATGTAACATAAGCCACTCTAAAGCGCATTACAGTACATGTACATATATATACAATTAATAAATTAATACAATTAACATATACATTAATCAATACAATTTGAAGAATTCTCAGGAGCTGCCTATCAGGCGCTAACTACTAGTCCTGTGCCACCTGGCTAATATCCCCCTGTGTGTATATGCCTGTGTGTGTGCTGAAGATGTAATGTTTTCAATTAATTATTATAAATAAAAAAATATTGAAGCTGTCAGTTAAGAAAAAACGTTTGATTATAAAGCTAACAGGCACAAAAGCAAAAAAAAGGATGTCTTTTCAGGAGAAAAGTCTCCATTTAAACCAGCGTTTTGACATGTGAATTTTTCGTGTGTTGAAATATAGAAAGCCAATAAAAATAAACTTGCCTTCTTTGAGATGATTATCATAAAGTATAAATCAACAAGAAAATAAACATGTTCTGAGGTAGAACACAATAGAAGGGTTGGTCGGGGCTAGCTAGTATACAGACCAGTGGGGGTCGGGGCTTAGCTAGTATACAGACCAACGGGGTCGGGGCTTAGCTAGTATACAGACTAGTGGGGTCGGGGCTAAGCTAGTATACAGACTAACAGGGGTCGAGGCTGAGCTTGTATACAGACCAGTGGGGGTCGGGGCTTAGCTAGTATACAGACCAGTGGGGGTCGGGGCTAAGCTAGTATACAAACCACTGTTGATCAACATATTATGCATGTCCATTGTCCGTAACACATGATCATTAACAAAACACAGCTGCATGTATTTCTTATTTAATGTGTTGTTATACTTATGTAAATATCGCTCAATTATGTACAGGTATGTATATGTAACACGTATAGGTTTAAGCTTAAATTCGGCTGTGTAGTTCAATTGTTTGTTTCAATATGATACATATAAACAGTGTGCACATTCGTTTTTGTTATTAAGCCACATTTATGTGTCTTTCTTGTATTACATGAGACAGTGGGTCTATTTTATATTTGTATCATCATAATTGTATTGTTTTGTTTCAGTTTTGTTATTAATGCATGAGACAGTGTGTCTATTCCATTTTTTAATTATAACACAAATAATGTTTCATTCTTTTATGAGAGTCCTTTTTTCCCTTTTGTTACTATGATGAATGTACTGCATATTATACTTCATTCTTGTTATTCATAAGGCAGTGTGTCTATTCCATTTTGTGTTAAAACACAAAAACTATTTCATTGTTTTATATCACAATGTGTCTATTGCATTATTGTCTTTTCTAGGTGTTTTACGGAACATTTCATATTTCATATTTGTGATTTATTATACATTGTGTCATTTCCATTCTTATTATGAAATATTTAATATTATCTTCCTGTGATTCATGAAACAGTGTGTCTTTTCCAAGCCTTTTCATGCTACATATAAGTTTATATTTTTGATGCAAGACACGGTGTGTCGATTCCATTTTTGATTTATGATCCATATAATTTTCGATCTAGTGATTCATAACACAGTGTGTATATTTCGTGTTTTTTTTATTATAATACAATTAATTTTTAATTTTTAATCATGTATTAGACAGTATGTTAATTTGATATTTTGTTATTATGTATATCCTTGTGGCTTGTGAGACATTTTTTATTATGATACACCTAGTGTTTCGTGCTTGTGATTTATGTCACAATGTGTATATTCCTTGTTTTTTTTATTATGATTCATGTAATGTTCATTGTTTTAATTATGTGTAAGACAGTATGTCAAAATTCATTTTTTTTGTGTTATGATGTATATAATATTTCATTCTTTTGATTCATAAGACAATGTGTCCATATTATTGTTGTTATTACGGTAAATATAATATTTCTCTTTTGAAATGCTAAGGTAATCGAGCAATTATATTTTTTGTGTTTGTAATACTTGTTAGTGATATCTTGTGATTGATGAAAAAGTGTGTTTAGCTATTCACCTGGTCCACAGGACTGATGAACTTATGAAATGGCGCAGCAGTTGTCTTTCGTCGGTCATGCGTCATTGTTTCCTTAGAAACCTACTTCTCCAGAGTAAATGATACAATTTCGACCTATTTTGGGAATTTAAGCCTTGATCGAAGTGTGCGGAGTTGTTTGTTTGACATCTGGGGCCTGAGGAACATGGCATAATGTAGGCCCATAATAGAACAGAATAAGATTAGTATATCTTCTAAAGCCTACTAATCCTGAACGAAATACAAATTATGACACTATGTTTCAGGGTTTGTCGTGAGGACAATTCTTTCATCGCGAGCCTTTGAAAAAAAAGCGTGAGGCCACTGCAGGTGGACTTGCGATGTCATGCATGTGGAGCGATGAGAAAATTGTTCGAACTACAAACCCCAAAACACTTCTGATAAATCAACTTTATACAAATACCTTTAACATGTTCGCAGTCAAAAACCATATTTTCCGACTGACTTCTATAAGCCTCAGTGATATGTGTAAACAAATACAGGTTTTGTATGGAAGGATATAATGAACCTTAAAGTTATGTACAAAATATTTTTAAAACAATATTCTTGTCATTGGCTTCTTCACATCCACTTTTGCACATTTACCGAAGCAAGGCGATCATGTCAATAAATGAAGATTGCATATCCCCTCTGACAATATGGGTGGGACCTTAAATGTAAATTATAGGCATTTTCATTTCAAATGTCTACTCCTTATGAACAACTGTTAAATATTTCTAAGGCAAACTAATACTGTTTTGTATGGTGAAGGTGGTGAGGTCCCTAGGGTCAGAGATGGGCTTCGTACGTAGAATTAGGAGTGTAAAGATATACTACTTTAGAATGACTGCGATCTCCTCTATTTGGCTTCTAACACAGAGCGTGGACATGAAAAGATGAATGTATCTACGATAACGGGTTTGGGACCAGGGAGTGAGCCCTCCCCAATGGTATTAACTCCCTGTATCATAACATGGAAATAGTTGAGGTTACCATTCTATAACCAAATATTTACCTATGCTTTGCTTTGGAGATATGACCCCATTCCTGGATACTTCCTACACCTTTGGAAGTTCTACCTGGATCTAACATTGAAACAGTTGAGATCCCTACACTATAACCATGTACAATGTACTTAAATGTGGGGTATGGAATACAAACACATTCAAGTTAGTGTTGTCTTGCGTGCCTTTACGGATTCCGTTATTGTTAAAGCTTATATGTCTTTTACATTTTTGATAAACGTGAATGATATTCCACGGGTTTTTATATTGTGTAGAAAATTCCAGGTGAGCTCTAAATGTCCCTCGGCCCATTGTTGTTATTATGGTACGCATCATATACCACCAGTGTCATTGTGAGACAATGTTTCTATTCCATCTATGTATCAGAAATGTTCTATATATGAAGTAAAAACTCCATTGTTATTATATAAATATATATATTTTTTACATTATACTGATATTTTGATGTATATAGATACTGATGTTATGATGATTTTCCTATGTGTACTTTCATATAGTTATATTGTTTATTTTGAAACATGGGAAATTCTTATGTTTAGCTAATATGGCATAAAGTGCCCGTGAGCTTATGCCATGAGGCGGAGTCCATCGTCCCCTGTGTCGATTACCCGTCTGCCATCTGTCCGTCGTTTGCTCTTTCGTCACTACTTTGAAATAATTCTTCTCAGCAATGTATTATCATACATATCGGTAAGCATTATGCTGATGATGAGCTTGACTTACATTATATGTCAAAGAGATCAAAGTGTCGCAAAAAACACTTCTCCTAAAAAACCTTAGCACCTGCAGTCTTTAAATTACCGTGTAACCTGCTGAAGTCAACAGCAAAAAGCATGGCCCTAATAAACGACTTTTGACAACGCATAATATCAAAGTAAAGAAATTCACGGGTAAAATGTCTCAAATATTAGAAATAAAGTCTACCATCCTATAACTCAGTGGTAGTAGAGGAATGGTATATCGCATAAATAGCTTGCTGATGTAAAAGGACACTATAAACTATGTTCGCACATGTTTATGGCGAAAAGAGTTAAAACTGTGTAAAAATCAAACAAATAAACCTTATTAGACCAAGCGTTATTGTTGAAATTCTGAAGTTAATAGAAATCTTAATTTGCCACCATGATCCCAAATTTGTGTTTTCAAATTAACAGGTCAACGATGCAGGCCCATGGACATGTTTTAATCATTATTGATATTTTTTTATATTATACTGTTGTTGTGATATTGATGTTGTGAGATATCAATTTGTTGATGTCTTGTGACAAATTCCGAGATTGGTTTTATTCTTACCAATGGGAAAGTACACAACTGGATGGATCTGACGTTGAAAATGGGAAACAATCCGGACAACGGTTCGGGTGCAAGGTACGTACGATTACTCAGTCCTATGTCGTTATACCAATGTTAGTGTTTACCACATCAATCGAGTATCCAGATGTCAATAAGACATAGTTATTTACTTTGATTACAGTTGAAAACTTATGAGATGATAACTCCAATTGAGCACAAGAACATTCGTTTTACAGGGCGTTGCCATCTATTTAAACTACACGTGCTAAACTTGAGGAATTACCGTATAACCTGCACAAAAGAAAAAAGAAAAAAATCCCCTAACGGAAGTGAATGTCCTTAGTACGAATACTGTTGTGGGTTAAATATGCAACTCAGCACATATGCGTTACCATGAGTGATATGCTGCACCAAATATAAACGAAATAGTAAACAAATCGGTAAAAAAAGGGTAAACATTTCTTGTTTTCCTCGATTATTTTAGGGCGCTTGGTAACCGATCTTTCCGACAAGACGGGAAAGACTCGAATCATTTCCGAATGAAGTGCACGGCTCGACGAGAGAGCCAAGTAGTCCATAAAGTGTGTTATTAATAACTAAATAACACAATAGCGTGTTGGTGCAATCTTTATATTTCAATTTCCTTTGTCAGATAGACGTCTTGGTTACATGGAAGACGGAGCAACATTAGAACGATACATTTCCTGGGGCTCCGTATGACGTCACGTTGAGTTTTAGAGAAACAATCACCTTCATGCTGCCATGCAGACGAAACAGACAAATTAAATTATAAGCTTTACGTAATTAACGTTCACTGTAAGTACTTGTATATCTGGAGAAGCACGTGTTTTTAAAAGCATTGGCGCCTCTTGAGTCGTTTGCAAATTAACGATATTTTTCAAATATTTATTCGATCAAATTTAACAAGGGGATAGAATCAAACCAGTCCTAGAGGTCACCTGTATAAATAGAAAACCTGTGTTTAGAGACCACGTTTTAAACTCCTTATAATCCTGTCTTGTTCACTGCCTCTGTACTAAGAGATTACATGCAAAAAGACACCACTTAATGATATGCTTGAAGACGGTCTCTGAATACAGGTTTCAGTGTAAATATTTTATCTCTTATTGAACTGAAAATCCTCGTCAATAAGTTGAATAGAAGAGTTCGTTTAATATCTTTCTCCATCAGTGAATGATCGGTGTTAACTTCACTGATATAGCCTCCTTCCTTATAGTCCTACACTAAAACGTATCAATAAAATGATTCCCACTCAATGTTTACCCTACCGTAACAAAAACTTTACATATCTCGTATGGGCTACAGTACTCATTCTTTGTTTGATTTTGTAATTTTCAACAATTATTCAGTATAAAGGCTTTTGTCCAAATCGATTTATCAGAATTAAGATTTTTTGTCGTTTTCCTTCAATCAATTAATTATTTATCAATGAGCTGAACTTGGTTTTTTATATGGTTTTAAACAGGAAGTGAGTGAAACATCAAAATTAGAACCAGCTGCTTAAAGTGATGTCATCACCAAGTAGAACCGCGGCTTGAAATGACGTCATCACCAAGAAGAGCCGCGGTTTGAAGTGACGTCATCACCAAGAAGATCCGCGGCTTGAAGTGACGTCATCAACAAGAAGAGCCGCGGCTTGAAGTGACGTCATCACCAAGAAGAGCCACTGTGTGAAATTAAATCACAATCATCAATGGAGCCCCATGGTTCAGTTGTGTTAAGATTGATTCATGTTTCATTTTTTTTTTATATATATTTTTTTAATATATCTTTTTTCTTAATTTGTACAGACATCGTTGATTTTCTATGTATGTTATAATAAGAGTGATAATTTTGAGTCCAATGTCATGAACAGTGTTTTTTTCGATTTTAATTATAATGAAAATATAAAATTCCGCTTTCATAACATAGATCCTCATCTCCCGGTCAATCTATATAATGTAATACACGACATATATGCTCAGCAAAAAAGAAAGGTTAACACACCACTCCCTTGGGGACAACCTCCATATCGGTTAAAGTAGAACATTCGGGAATGAAATACCTAGACCAAGTGATATCCTATTCATTGAAATCATTCAGCTGTAAATGTCTGTGTGACCAAAGAGTTCCTCGTGTGTTTTTGTAAATAATTCGTGAATAACGCAAGTGCCCAGTATAAAACGTAAATGCAATTCCTCTGTCAACCTACTACGATTGAAAACTTTAAAAACAATGAACACAAAAACGTATTTTTACATTCCTTGGCTGTCACGAGGTCAGAGGGAAAGTGCTGGTCGTCAAATTGCACAACAATTTGGTTGCAGTTTAAAGAGCGTAAACCTTTTGTCAAATCGTTTTAACCGAACTTGGTCGAGGTATGAATGTTCACGAAGCGGAAGACACCGTGTAACGTCTGCTTCTCGGGAACACCTCCTGAAACGGCTAATTCATCTGCAAAATCACAGAAACTGCTTAGTCGTCCTGGATCTGCCGAAACCTTCTGAAACCACTTGAAAGTGTATAACACGATAATTCCCCACTGCATACGAGTCGCGTCAAGGTAACTGTTTTAAAACAAAACAATGTTATGGTTTTGGGTTTTTCATCTAAATCACCCGACATATCGTCCATAGTCCACATTTGGAAAGTCTTTGGCAATACGTTCGGAAACGTCAAAATCAGCGGTTTATCTTGCAGGAGATAAAGCTTTGACCGATGAATAAAACATTATCCCTCCTAACCTTATCCGTCAGTTTTTAAGTTCAATTCTAAATTATTATATTTTTTTCGGCGAAAACGGTGATCATACGTGGTATTATACAGGCGACTTATGAACCTCGACTAACCTTCCCTAAACATGAAATAAAATCAACTCAGCACGGCAATGTTTTTAATAAGAAATTAATTAACCAACACTTCACCGAACAACATATTATTAAATTGAAAAATGAAAAACCTTTTGGTGAATTATTGTATATTATATAACTACTTGACCAAATGTAAGACGAGTTGTTGACTCAACTTTGTCATCAAGTATATAAATAAAGACTATTATACACTTGCATTAAATAGCTTAATGGAGTGCCCACCCTTCTTTTTTCCTGAGTATACGTACCGTGGGATGAAAATCTGTGTCACGCTCCCAAAAGTGTCTGTTTAAATCTGACTTGATTAGATACAGAAAATTGGAGTTGCAGTATTTCTAATAATCAACTACATTCATCGGCAATAAAATATTATTGACAATTTGATCTTGGCCCAGTTGCCCGGATTAACAATTTACATTGATAGCTTATATGGTTCCTTTGTATAAGATACATGTACCATACAGTCTCGAGAATAAGCAATGGATTAGTAACCAGGAAACTATAAGAACACATAACTGCTTTGGTGTATACTTGTTTTTGAATGTGCGTGCATATTAGGATATCTTGAATAGACGCGATTCGAACTAGCGCTGCAGAAGGTCTCCCCCCTAAGGTCAAGGTCACTGTTACTTAAAGGCGTTGTGCATTGTGGTATGCAGATGTTCAAAAGGGGTTTCAGAGGGTTCTTAGGTCAATATCAAGGTCACTGTTTCCAAAGATATGTACATGATATATATATGAGGATTTTTTTTTATAATAGTCAAGGTCACTATTACTAAAAATAGACTATCGCGGTTAAAGTCCTTATCTCAGAAACCAAAACACTAGGATGGCTACGGTCATGCACATGGCGGGATATTGCTGACCTATCAGTGCTCTACTTCTGGCAGTTCTGAGGTACAAATATACAGCTGTTTGAGAGTGCATAAAAGGTGGTTAAATACTTTTCCCTTCTCGATTTTGTATTAGAATCACAGTTTGGATGACGCTTCGACATTTTTTGCTGTTTCATTAATTTCTTGAACTAATGCTCAAATAGGTGTTTTGTACCAAAATAACTACTTCTACGCTATGCAATTCTTCGACGTTTTCTTAATGAACTACATTAAACGTCTTCCGAATGACTAGTTCGAATCCTGGCTATTATAGATTAGTAATATTGCACTGTCGCCAATACAGTTTTGTGATCGGTATGGTTTTATCGCGAGGTATCAACGATAAGAAATATCGTAGAAACAGCTTAATATTGAATCACGTTTATCAAGTAATAATCAGGACCTAATACATATATCATATCAATTTCTGTAACCTTCCATGTATGGTATATACGGCAGTAGACGATGTTAAAATGATAACAATCCTTGATGTGTTGATCCAAACCATTTACCAAACAACCTTTGGCGATTTGGCCGTGAACTAAGCCTGATTGAGGCCATGTTGTTGATACCAAGTCACGTCGGCAGCATGGCATTGTCTGGTAGACCTCCGTACCTAGACCGGCTGTTAGAAAACTTCTATTTAAGATGATTCGGCATCACGTAAATGTAAACTTTCTGTCAACACACACTTTGACCGGCTGTTTGGTGGCTACTTATTGTATTTTTAACAGTGGTAAACTGATTTTACTACCACAGTTTTACCTAGTGAAAAGTCATTCTACGAAAAACAGGTGTGACTACAAATACTTGTTGCTTATAATAAACCCAATTGGATATTGTGTTGTTTTTACGAAATTATGAACCATCGCCGTGCGACTTCGGCTGTTAAACACAAATCAAAATGTATAACCCCCCCCCCCTTCCTTGAACATGTGCAAGATGCTGCCATTTTGTTTTCTATAAGCGTTTACCTACAGCAAACCATTGCTGATTTTCGAGACTTGTCTGTATTCGATTAAGCCTATTTAGGTCACCATAGAACTATACTATTGCGATCGTCTTTTGTCCGGTGTCTCGTGTCGTCGTCGTCCGTCCGTAAACAATTCACGTTTTTGACATATTCTCTGTGATCTAATCCCCAAGGGGTCCGAGAGGTAGGAACAAAAGGGGTCAAATTGGCTAAAATTTCAACAAATCCTTCTTCAGACTCAGATTATCTGGAATAAAATACATGTTTTTGTCCATAGATCGATAGGTATTTGGATGCCTTATGCAAATTATTAGTTGGTTGGATTGATCATCGTGTGATTGGAGTTTGATATTATAAACATCAAAGGGATTGAGGGGTGGGCCTAAATTGAGCCAAATTGGAGAAATTAAAACAAACTTCTTCTTCAGACACAGTTTTACTGGAATCATACACTTTTCATGGATGGAAGGGCAAAAGGCGTTTATCTTTTCAAAACTGAATTTTATTATCCCCGGATTACCTATTACCCTTTGGGAGGGGGTAATCTTTAATATATATATAGTTATTTAGAGAAATAACTATCTTGGGAATATTTTGCCCATTTTTCAGTGGGTAAGAATTCAAACTTGGTTGGAATTATCAACATGTGATTGCAGTTTGATGGTATTAAAAACCAGACCCTGATTCACCGGTAGTGTCTGAGGATTGCAGTTTGATGGTATGAAAAACCAGAACCTGATTCACCCATAGGGTCTGTGATTGCAGTTTGATGGTATAAAAAGCCAGACCCTGATTCACCTCTAGGGTCTGAGGATTGGGTCCAAAAAGGTCAAACCGGCAACAGTTTTCTTCTTCAGACCCAAATTTGCCGAAATCCAATCCTCTTCATGAGAGAAAAAGTCTGAAGGCTTTTTATCAAAATTCAGAGTGTAAATTGTATAGTTTATACTGTTCTAGACACTTTTTGGTATATTGTGCTTATGTTTAGTGGGAAAGAATTCAAACAGTGTTTGGAGGAATAATCCTGTGAATGCAGTATGATTTTATAAAGTTAAAGACCCAGATTCGTCTCTAAGTTACCCGAAGGCGGAGCCCAAAGAGGTCCGATTGTCTTAAATTTTAATAGTCTTCCTTTCTAGACCCAGCTTTGCGAGAATCAAAACTTCTGCATGGATGGATGAATGGAAAGGTCTCTAGTTCCTATCAAATTTTGAATATACAACCCCGGTAAATAATTCATATTTTTGACATATTCTATGTTATCTAATCCCCAAGGGGTCCGAGAGGCAGGAACAAAAGGGGTCAAATTGTCTGAAATTTCAACAAATCCTTCTTCAGACTCAGATTATCTGGAATAAAATATATGTTTTTGTTCTTGGATGGAAAGGTCTCTAGTTTCTATCAAAACTAGTCCCCTCCCTCCTCCTCTGGGGAAGGGGGTAAAGAGTTGACAATTTATATAAGGAAATATTTGTTTTGTATATTTTGCTTTTTTTCAGTGGGGAAAAATCAGACTTGGTTAGAATTTTCATCATGTTCGATGGTAGTATAATCGAGATCCTGCTCACTCCGGGGGTCTGAGGGGCGGTGCCAAAAAGGGTCACACTTGCTTAAATTTCAGCAAAACTGTGAGTTTCACTCCACTTCCGGTCACCCATTCCTGCATGGGTAGGGGGTAGGGGGTATTTTATTATTTGGTTATCAGTAACATAATTAAATAACATAATTTTGTCAGGAAATCCGCTGTCTGATAGCCATATTTTGATTAATTACAATATTTGTTTCTGTAACATCACAGCAACAAATAACAGTTGTAATACAACTCAGGTGACCGTTAAGGCCCATGGGCTTCTTGTTTAATAAATCTTTATGTGCTATTGTATGTATAAAACATATTTGTAAACAATCTATATTTGTTACCAAATTTCATGTTACATTGTCTAAATGTCTATTTTTTAGAAGTTTGAATAAATATTTCTTAGCTTACTATGCTTTGAGTGATATTTTTGATTATATGGACCCCAGTTCCACTGCAGAACACTTCGCTGTATATAATCATCGGGAATATTTCTGGTATGACTAAATTAACTTTGTAAATCAATTATGAAAATAACCTTTCGGAATTCTTATAACAAAAATAGAATGATGAAATACGAATAAAAATTCAATATCAGTAACCTGATATAACAATGAAATGAGTAAAACCGGGATTCACATCCTGGACGTCTGAAAATATACTGTCTTTCTTAAACTGTACATGTACCAACGGAGCTATACTGTTAACGGTACACTGTAGTACCGTTGGCTGTTTGCGCTAGTTTTATACAAAACAAAATTAAGGGGAGGTTATTACTGTATGCAGTGTTTTGCCTGCAGTGGTACATGGTTCCCAATGAGACTGCTGCCATTCATCAGCCATCTACCGTTTTGTCAAAACTGCAACTTAAAATGCTGGTCAAACCACTGTTTCGTCATTTGTACAAGCGTACAGGGCAGGCCAACATTTAATAGCCAAAGATGGGTTGTAAAAGTATATGATACATAATTAAATGAAGCTGGGCTATCTATCTCTAACTCAATCTTTTGATATAATGAACATATCTTTAATTTGTAGAGTTATCTCTAAAAGAAATAGAGATATATCCAGACATAAAACGGATATCTTAAAAATCATAGAAGCGTATAATCTCATTAGGTAAAGAGATACTTTTAAATTAAAAGTGTATCTTTGAAGAGCAATTTAAAAGATCGTACTAATAGATCTATGGAGTTCCAGTTACAAAGAGTGGAGGGTATAAAGGAAAGATTGGTAAGAGAAAGCCGAACTAGAGGACCTCTATAATCACTGTTATTTCTAAGGGTGTACCTGTTATTTTCTGCAATAGTAGGTGGCAGGAGATCGTTTAAATAATCTGGAGTTAAGTTGTTTTGCATTTTGTATAAACGTCGGAGTTTTCTACGTTTTCGACGATTAGAAAGAGTTTCTAAACCTGTTTCAAAATGTATTCTTCGATACGGGCATATGAAGGAAGACCGGATATAATTCGAGCAGCTTCTCTTTGGGATTTCTCTAATTTTTCTGATTCAAATTTAGTACAACCATCCCATAGTTCACAAGCATATTCTAAAACTGGTAAAATGAATGATTTATAAATTCTTAAAAGACTATTCCTATTTAGCAAATATTTCAATCTCCTTAAGACGTTAATTTTCTTCATAACTGAACTATAAATGGCATTAATATGATCCCCCCACTTTGCGCTTGAATAAAAAAAAATACTCCCTGATGTTTATGATGGTCTGTAAAATTTAAGTCTTTTCCATCAAATTTCAAATCTAATTTAAATGTTACCAACCAAGTTTTAGACCATACGTTTAAAGACTCAAGATCCCTATTTAATACTGTTTGGATTTCATGACAAGATGAAGAAGACTGTAATAAAGAAGTATCATCTGCAAAACGACGAGCAGCTGATTCAAAGACATCGGCAATAGCATTAATGTATATCAAAAACAAAAGTGGTCCAAGAATTGAACATTGAGGAACCCCTGCTTCGTTCAATCCTAATTGGGAATAAGAATTATTTAAGAAAACTTTCTGTTGCCTATGAAATAAATAATTTTCTTACCAGGTATATAATTCACCAACAATTCCGTAAGATTGTAACTTAACCATCAAACCATTCTGTCAAACCCGATCAAAAGCCTTGGAGATATCACAAAACACCATACATACGTGTTTTATTTCTTCAAGAGCAATACAAATGTTGTGATAAATTTCAATGAGCTGATATACAGTAGAATGAGCATGCATAAAACCAGACTGGTACTTATAAAACAATGAGTTTTCTAAGAAATAATTACGTAGGTGTTTGAAGATTACTCGCTCAATACCTTTTCCAACAGTAGATACAAGTGAAATTGGCCTATGTGTAGAAGGAGAATGTCTGTCAGCTTTTTAAATCAGTGGCATGACTTTGGCTTTTTTCCAAGCAGTTGGGAAGATACCTGCCGATAAAGACATATTACAAATAATTTCAAAATCACGCAACATGTTCTTTATCTTATTTTAAACAATAAGTTCTATTAATAATTGAAATATTATTTGACAATAATTTCATTTCATTTTTCATTTTTTTTTTTCATTTCATCAGATTTTATTGACTTTCTATATGTCAATTGGATTGGACATCAGGCTAGGCCTATTTAAGTCCTTTCCAAACTTATTTACAAACATTACATATATTCTGTCATAACAATCCAATTAAACAGTGCAGGGGAGATAACTCCAATTTAGCTTGTGAAATGAACATCTTACAACTTTTGTTTAATCATTTTCTGTTTATGTTTTAGATATTAACAATTAAATAAATAATGACAATAATTCCCGACCAAACAGGAAAAACGCCCTCTCCCCTTTGATAAATTGAGATATCTTCCCTGTATGAGGGTACATGCGCCTCGACATCTTAAATAAAGCGAAGTCGGAGCGATAAATAAATATACACAATGCAATTATTTATAAGAAACCGAGGTGGCCTGCACGGTTAAAAATAGCTCCCTAATTTAAGAAAAATATTTCCCCGTAAATAGTTTGAATTAAAGGGAAAGTAATTGCTTAGTTACTGCTATAGTGTACCTAGCTCAAATCTAATCAGGTCACTGTGGACAATCGTTAACTATTTTTAGTAACATTTAGGTAATAAAAGCGATACACAAAACAGTTAAAAAACATCAAATACACTATTTTTTGTGTAAATTGTTAGACTTTCAGTCGCTGGACAAGTATTATGATAAACTCGCTTTTCGTAACTAGAATTTAGCTTTTCCTTTGCCGGCTCTCTCGAAACGGATTCGGTGCTTATCCAAATATCCTGTCGTGACTGTGTTTTCATATATATTCATTAATGTATATATAATAATTTTAAAATAGATTTCTGCCTGTTCCTGCCCATTCCTTTAAATCGTCGAACCCCTAGTCACGCCATTTCGTTGATGTTTTCTGCACCAAATCGCATATTTCCAAGTAGGATGTGACATATAGAAGTAAATAACTTCAAGAAATGTAATATTTCACAGTAATAAAGAAGTATTTTGTCCATAACTGGGTGGTATTGGGTAGTATTGGGTGGTATTGGGTAGTATTGGGTCATAGTCATGGCAATTCGGTGATGTTTTCGGCACCAAATCGCATATTTCCCGAAAAAATATGGCAGATGGAAGTAAATAACGTCTACAAAGGTGATATTTCACAGTAATAAAGAAGTATTTGGTACATAACTGGGTCGTATGGGGTAGTATTGGGTAGTATGGGGTGGTATTGGGTAGTATTGGGTAGTATTGGGTGGTATTGGGTAGTATTGGGTAGTATATTATAATGGGTAATTAAACGCGCCGCCGTATAGTCGGCATTGAACTTTTTTTCTACAAGCCGGATTTTTTCATTGTCCTCCGTACCATTTATTATGCACTTTTCAAGATGGAAGCCCCCAGTTGTTAAGTAAATGTAGGCCTAGTGCGCGTTTTCGTGGAAGGTCAGCCATAGCCATGATTCGGAATTTAACTTTAGTGGCAAAGAGGGGGAGGAATTGTTGTTTGATAAGGAGTGCTTATTTTCAGAGACAAAAAACTTATCATCTTTTCAAGAACGCCGATCTAACATAGTTGTTCACCGACATCACTCAACCTCAACTGAAACAAATCTAAGGATCCAAATAATGAATGCCTGTCTCAGAAACGATATATTAGCATACGGTCGTGCTACGACCTTTGGATAGATGTACCTAAAGCAGGTTTAATTTTTGAAGGGGAATACTACGACTGTAGCCCTGATATGTCAATCGATCCTAAAGTTCCCCTAGTTTTAGCGCTGCACGACACTCCTGGAACAGCCGAAGACCTGCTCCCTGTTCTCAACCTGCTAGCAAAATTGGGATACAGAGTCATTGCTCCAAATTTTCCAGGTAACCACATAAACATAAACAGAGGGCCAAAGGCAAAAATGCATCACTCATGCTGCGAGGTGAACAAGATATATATATATATATATATATATCACACGTGCATAAAAAAAGGTGACGGAGGGGTATATTGTACATAAAACTCTGACACCTACATGATCATCTGCATTTTTATCATATAAGAGTAGTTTAACCTAACTGGCATAACTGCTTGGTAAATACATAATGTAGTCATTTACTATGTTGGGTCAAAGGAACCTGAAATTCTGTCAAAAATTAATAATAACAGTAATACAAACAACATCTGGTCCATCCAGAATACTAAAAGAGCTTGCTGCAGAAATTACACCAGCACTGACAAAACTCTTCCAAATATCATTAGACTTTGGATCAGTCCCGCAAGATTGGCGCGAGGCACACATTGTCCCCGTCTTTAAAAAAGGTGACAAACAAGCTGCAGAAAATTATCGTCCTGTCTCTTTAACTTGTATCACCTTGTAACCTACCAGCTAGCAAGTACTTGGGGGTTACTCTAATGGATGACTTCAGTTTGGGTAAACACATCCACTCCACTGTAAGTAAGGCTAACAAAACACTGGGCTTCCTGAGACGCACTATGTCATCATGCTCCAGGAAAGTCAAATCACAAACGTATACCACTCTAGTGAGACCGACTATCGAGTATGTCTCTACATGTTGGGACCCATACACCACAGAAAACATTGTACTTTTGGAAACCGTCCAACGTAGGGCTGCTCGATATGTCCATAACAACTACAGGACCCGTGAACCTGGAAGTGTCACCAGCATAATACAATACATTGTAAAATGTGTGAATATCATCTATTGTGAATGCTATTTCCATTGCAAATTGGCCATTTTGAAGCAAATTAATAAAACCCTCTTCAAAGTTTGATAGCCTACACATTCACCAAACAAATAAATATTTGACATTCTTAAACATTGTCATACCAATGTTCATTCACAGAAAGGAAATTTTGTTTGTTACATGCAGAGGCTTTCAATTCTGCATGCAAACTGTCTAAAAACATCACATTTTAGCTATTTCTGCATAGCAATGCAATTTTGTTGCTCTGGTAGGGCATCTAGGCATGTACATATCTGTACATTGTAGAAAAAATCTGCACCAAGAAAGATAGCCCCAGTTATTCAAAATGATGTTTATAACAGAAATCGGTAAATAAATTCAAGTTTATCATTTTTTACATTTTCATGAGGCCGAAATGATCCGTAATACCCCATGTCATTTGAAAAAAATACAATAGGGATTTGGTGACTGCTTAAATTCTGCCGCAGTTACAGAGTTGATACAGCAGAATTTGAGCTGCCACTATAACTCACTGTATCATAAATCTTGGAATAAATATTAAGAAGAGGCAACTTTCATACAGTAGGAAATAAGCAGGTATTCAGTGGAAATAATGTATTGTTGTATTACTTTCATAGCACAGCTATAGTTTCTTAGGTAAACTAGAGTGGAGCTTCAAAAAGTCAAACTGCATTTCCCATTCCCAGAAAATGTGGACAATTCACCCCTGACATTTCATAATTTCATAACTATTCCAACCTTTGAATTTGAAGAGTTCAAATGTGTTTTTAGGGGTGAATGAGTTAAAGCATTGTTTTGATAGTTGGACAACCAGATTAGTGGTGTGATTGCTGGATACATATATGTTTATAGTGAGGCATGTTTAATAATTAAGACTTGACTTCGCATTTTATTTGTAGTTGTATTACATTGTGTTGCCACGTGAACCCCCCCCCCCCCCCCCCCCCCCCCCCCCTCCATTATTTCTTTCCAAATTCTACAATCCAGACTTTTGAGTTTGAAATGCTTAAGAAAGTTTTAACTCCAACGTTAGATTACTTGTGTTTTTGTTGTTGATGTTTTTAAGGTTGTGGCAAAACCAAATGGGTCCAGTGGAGGGATTGGAATGTCTTCACGGGAGCGCTGGATGAGAAGATGCATTTTGTATTTGACTGTCAGTCAGCATTAGATATACAAAGGTTTATTAACATTTCAGTGATATTTCAGATTCTAAATTGCTGCAATACTGCATACAGATTGTTGCGGTAAATTATAAGAGGTCACTGATGTAATCTTAATGACATTGGTTTGTTGGTTGGAAACTATTCCATCCAATACATATATCTCAAGAATATATTTGAACATATTAATATATATATATAATTGCAATCACCAATATGTACTGTACTTGGAAAAGTTTTCATCGTATAAGTAATAAATAGTGTGACTGTGTCAATCATGGTAAGGGAGGAAATTCTATCCATCTACAATTTATTTTCATGGGTCGTTTTCAACTATTGCTAAAAACAATAGGTCCCACATGTACAATGCTAAATTTAAATATTTCCAGAAATTCTATGAGTCCCATCAAAATTCATTGAGTATAGGGCTCGAGACTCAAATGTAGATTCATCACTGTAAATGTAGTACCAAAAATAGCCATGTTTTATATAGTTTCTAAACATCATGATATTTGATTGGAGCGAAGGTTTATGGATTATCAAGGATATGCTATATCTATATGTATTGGTTGTATAATTTGTGTTATGTGTGATGATGTTACAGAGTGGATGTAGCGCTGGGCTACGGTATGGGCTGTAGTACATATGTCGCACTATCAGGAACAGACAGCAATATCTACAGATCAAATGTCCTCCTCTGTCCAGCAGAACACACTCCACTCAAGCCAGTTAAGTACGTTTTGTAGCTAGATAGATTAATACAGAATAGATAATAAAATGATTCAAAACAAGAAATTCTAAAATTCATCAGACCATTAGCTAAAGTGAATATTGATTTTTGTGTGTGTCCATATATCATGTGTGGGTTGTCTGGGGATAGGCTGTCCCAGCTACAACCAACAATATAAATGAAACACTTTCTATTTTCTTTACTCACAAATCAACGTCTGTTCATTTTTTTTCTTCCTCACTTTTCACACTCTCTTACTGTATTTTTTTTTTTTTTTTTACCTCATTGTTTGTACACTCTCGCACAAACTCTCCTCACACAGAGGTAACAATAAAAATTAACGCGGAAATTTGGAATTTCTCTAGACCCTCAGGTTTTTGAATACTAGAATTCACTAGACCATGAGGTTAAAGGATGTTGAATTTCACTAGTCTATCTGGTTTGTGAATGCTAAAATTCACTAGACCATGAGGTGAAGGATGTTGGATTTAAATAGCCCTTTAGGTTTATGAATACATTTGTGCTAGAATTCACTAGACATCAGGTTACCTTTAAGGATTCACTAGAAATTCATGAGGTTTGTGAATACCTATACTAGAGTTCACTTTACCATGAAGTTAATGAATATTGAATTCACTAGCGGTGGATAATATATATTGATTTATGTTTATATCATAAAATTGAATTAGTTTATCTATGATAGGGGTAAAGTGATTTTAATCCAACTTTCTTATAATCCAATTACCTTTTAATCAAGACATCTTGAAATCAAATTGTTTTGTAATCCAGCTGTATCATAATCCAGTCATCTCGTTGTCATGTTCAACTTTTGCTGAAATGAAATTGTTTAAATGTTTCATTATGATATTGATTATTATGCCTTGACTTTACAGTTACAGGGATTCATAGCAAGACTTCAAACTAAAGGCGTGCCATGTTGTATGGTGTATCACAGTGTCGCAGACGCTAAGGTCCCCCCAGAAATATCACAGATGTATGCAGAATTATTGGGCATCAAGCCCGAAGACTGCATAGTATACCAGGAGGACAAAAAAATCAAATCAAGGTGAAATTTTGTGTATTATGTTGTAATCAATTTGAAAAGAATTTTTTTCCTCACAAAAAGATAGTCCTAAATTTTTATATTTTTTTATAATTATTTATTTTTGCAAAGATTTTTCATGAACTTTTGCATCATCAGTTTAGCGTTTTCATGAATTATCCTTTTAGATCATTTCACTAGAGGATGCATGTATATAATCGAAGCCAATGTCATGTTCTGTATACATATTGTGAAAAATATGCTTTAGGCAGAGGATAAATATGGTTCAGTTTGTCTGTAGACAAAAAAAAAGTCTGTACATGTCCATTGTAGTTTGCTTTCACAATGCTTAACTACCATCTTATGTACTACATATATAATGCACTTTGTCATATTGATCATTGTTGATAGTGATCTCCCTTGTACTTTGCAAATTACAGTATTGTTGTAATACTTTAAACCTAAAATTTCAGACATATAATATGGATGAGCCATATTTTATTTAGTTTTAGGTCTTTAACTCAATAACTGGGACATTGAGTGGATATTCTCTTTCAACCATATAAGGAGGAATAATCAAACTGTCCTGAGAAACTCACATTGAATAATAATTCACATTAGTAGACATTGTGTCTATGAGGTTAAACACATATTTAGGAAATAGACCATTTTTGATCTGGTTACTAGTACATTTAAATGCCCAAAATAGTATTTATTAGCTTATGCCATGGTGTGGCGTCCGTCGTCCGTCCAGTGTCAAACTTTAAACAACTAATCTTCTCAATAACCAAAAGACCTTAGGTGATGATATTTGGCCTGTAGCATGCTGGTAGGAAGGACTACCAAGTTTATTCAAATGAATGACCTTCGCCCATTTTCAAGGTCAAAGGTGTCAAATATGTAAAAAAATCTTTATACAATTTCTCCTGAATGACCAGCAGGCACAGGATGATGATATTTGGCCAATCATATACTAGCATGAGGGGCAACCAAGTTTGTTTAAATAAATAACCTTCACTTATATTCAAGGTCACAGGTGTCAATTATCTTAAAAAACCTTTCAAACAACTTCTTCTGAATAACCAAAAGGCCCAGGGTACTGATATTGGGCCTGTAGCAGGCTGGGATGAAGGGCTACCAAGTTTGTTTAAATGAATGACCTTGACTTATTTTTAAGGTCACAGGGGTCAAATATATTAAAATCTGTTAACAACTTCTTCTGAATAACCAAAAGGCCCAGGGTACTGATATTGGGCCTGTAGCATGCTGGGATTAAGGGCTACCAAGTTTGTTCAAATGAATGACCTTTGCCATATTCAAGGTCACATGGGTCAATTTGTTTTTAAAACATTTAAACGATTTTTTCTGAATAACCAAAAGGACCAGTATAATGATACTTGGCCAGAAGCATGCTTGAATAACGGGCTACCAAGTTTGTGTAAATTAAATGCCTTCGCCCAATTTAAAAGGCACAGGGGTCAAATATGTTGAATAATTTAAACAACTTCTTCTTAATAACCAAAAGGTCCAGGGTGGTGATATATGGCCAGTAGCATGCTTGGATGAGGGGCTACCAGGTTTGTTCAAATAAATTACATTTGTCCATATTCAAGATCACAGGGGTTATATGTTGAAATCTTTAAACAACTTCTTTTGAATAACAAAAACATCCAGGGTGATAGTTTGTTCATGCGAATGACCTTGATACACCTAGTTAATTGTGCATAAATATTTAAAGGCACCTTCTCAATAAACAAAAGGTATAGGGTGATAATATTTGTCAATCTGCATTCTGGGATGAAGGGCTAAACAGTTTGTTCAACTTTATGTCCATGTTTGACTTTCAACGTCACAGGGGTCAAATAAGTATAAATCGTTAAATAGGTTCTTATAAATGACTTTTAGGTCAGACATTGATATTTTTCCTGTAGCTGTATTTTAGTTCATTTTAAGGTAACAATTGTAAGATTAATACCAGGTGAGCAATGCATGCCCATTGGGCCTCTTGTTTATGGCTCCAGGGATAGAGCCAAAGCCATTCTCTTGTATCGGTATATTTCTGTAACCCCTTGCTTGGATACCACCCAGTATTGAGGAGGATGATATTTGGCTAGTACATGTAGCATGCTCGGATGAAGGGGTACTAAATATGTTCAAATAAATTACCTTGACTTGTTTGAGATCGGTGTCTATTGTTGATTTTTTTTCAAACAATGTATTCTCTATGATATTTGGCCAATAGCATGCTGGGATAAAGTGCTACAATGTACCAAGTTTGTTAAACTCAATGGATTTTATCCCCTTTCAATGTCACAGGGGTCAAATATATTAAAGTCTTGTAAAAACTTCTTCTCAATACTCAAAAGACCTAGGATGATGGTATCAAAAGTTTGTTCAAATGAATGACTGTCAAGTTCACAGGGGTCAAATGTGTTAAAATCTTCATACACTCTCTTCTCAATCACCAAATGGCACAGGATGATGATATTTGGACGGTTGTTTAACATAGCCTATTTTAATTTTCAATATGTTTGCCCTTGGCCAACTTTGAAAGTTACTGGTGTGAGATTGATATGTACATGTACCAGTTGCGCAATTCAGGCCCATTGTGCCTTTTGTTTTTATTAGGTATGTCTACCGATTTCGCCCAAATGATGGGCTTCTTTAGGACCAACAATTGCGATTGAATTTCATACTTGGTATATATTTAATCGCAGTGACAACGAAAAGTATTTCGAACGAGAGAAATAGGAAATGCACGTATAAGCTTTCTCGTGGGTATATTCAATACAGCTGTATAAATATGATTATTTTGTGTAAATCATTTAAATGTGTGAAATTTTGAATTTTCAGGTAAAACCCATTTTCCAAAAGGACTAAAGGTTGAACATGAGCAACACCAACAGCAAGAATGATACGTGGTGTTGTGAAGACATTACGTTTTTAAGTGCTATCATGTTTAGGCTATCAATGCGTAAGGAGATTGTATTGTAAGACATGTAAATGACCCAATAAGTCTGTTTAGAGGGGAAAATCTTCATGTTCATTTTAATTAATAAAAGTCAGATGTCGAATTTGAAATGAAAATAAAGAGAACAAAGTATTTAATATCAAGGCTACTAATTTGGAAGAGATAATATCCCGCCTTTACTATGATTAAGAAGTAGATATTATTTGCATGGCCTTATTACATCTTTTAGGATAACCAGGTCGCATTTAGTTATGGTTCTAATACTGACCAACTTATAGTATTAAAAATACATGATCTGATCTGAAATATGTAATTTTCCAAAAATTTCAGAATTTGTTGATTTTGGCGTGATTTGAACTGTTCTAATTTTGTCATTGAATTTTGTTTCCTTATAAACCCTTTCACCCCAATGTAACTTAAGTAAAGTCTACCATGCATTGATCTGGATGAGTCCATTTTGGTCAACAGTGGTGAATGGGTTAAGAGTGATATTATGTCATCAGCTGTGGGAATCACTAATGATTTGATAGCATTTTCTTGAAGAACTCTGGGGAAAAGTACATGTATGTTTTAGCCAACTTGATTTGTTACACAATCATGAAGACATTGGAAAAGTTGGAAAATATATTTAGGGGGTTAGGTCCTGACTTTCAGGAAAAGAAGAGTATTAATTTAAACGCAGAAATATGGCATCTGTCTAAGTCTGAGATTCACTCATGGTCAGGTCTTTGGTTTCAATTTTTAAACTTAAAAGTTTCAATAATAAAATATTTTTTGTTATATTTTGTTATTTCTCTCTAGAGGTTCTCACAAGGACTTGACAGGAAATGTTTAATAGCAAAAAACCAGTGTAATATAATAGCAATGCAGCAATATAAGATCATAACTGAACTGTTGATTGTTACGTCACCACAATTGTTACGCTTGACTTAAGTGATGAAGATAACTGGCCGATTCCTGCTGTGTGCTGTTTTATTTATTGAAGATCTACCATATATTTTTATAAAAATATGAAATTTAAATATCGCTTCATTGTCAAAATTATTTGAAAATATCAATAAAAGTATTAAACTAGATTCTATTCTGATTCATAGACCTATAATGATAAACAGGATTATTGACAAGTATTCATAATGAGCAATTTCTGTCTTAGGATATTCAAGACAATCATGAATTATCTCCATAACAATTATTTAGTTGTTTTATTTTAATCTTTGGGACTGCGTTAAAAATAGACATCCTGCATAAACAAAAGTATATGCAGTTTTAAAAACAAATGTACCGGTTAAATTTTAGATTTAAAGGAATATGTTTGATTTGGACCGTTTTTGGCCCCAAAATCATCAAAATTTAAATTTCAAATTGAATTTTCCTATTGTTTTATTTTCTATTTTGAAAACTTCCATGAAACTGTACTCAAACTATTTGACATGTTTTTATTTGTAGTTGCTTTGGTTACCTGTTGAAATTTAGACAAATATGTGATACATGTATTGGTATATTCCGTCATTTTTGTGAAGTTGTCACATATTGTTTTCTTGGGAATCACAGAGAACATGCTTGAATAAGTTGGTATTTTAGTAGATGTTGAAACTGATAAACATCTTTTTGTTCAAAGATGTGCTCTGCGGCTGATACCAGGTAGCTATATAGAGACACAGGGTAGTCTTAACAGTTCATAAAAGGACTCTACACAAAAAGGTCATACAGGACCACACAGTAGACTTAATGACTCCATACAACAAGGTCATACCGGACCACACAGTAGATTTAATGACTTTACACAACAAGGTCATACTGACCACACAGTAGACTTAATGACTCTACACCACAAGGTCATACAGGACTACACAGTAGATTGAATGACTCTACACCACAAGGTCATACAGGACCACACAGTAGACTTAATGACTCTACACCACATGGTTATACAGGACTACACAGTAGATCGAATGCCTCTACACCACAAGGTCATACAGGACCACACAGTAGACTTAATGACTCTACACCACAAGGTCATACCGGACCACACAGTAGATTTAATGACTCCATACAACAAGGTCATACCGGACCACACAGTAGATTTAATGACTCTACACAACAAGGTCATACTGACCACACAGTAGACTGTTGATTGAATGTATTAAGAATTTATGATTACTACTAATTAGTATGCCTCGATATACCATGTGAATGATATCAATAAAGATGAGCAAACGCGTTGTTCTGTGTTTGAGAAGTCAATTATCTCTACATTCAGATATACAATCCAACACCGACTCTTTATACACTCCAAAATTGGCCTCTATTTTTACAGTAATATCGATATCTCGTTAGTCTTCTCATCTAATTACGAACTCTACCATATTTGATACATACGATAATATCTATAAAAAACAGAGTTTCGTTTCTTAATTCGGAATAGCGTTTCCTTGTAGCTGTAACAAGACTATGAAATATGACGGACCTACAGATGTCTACTTCGTGACATCCAAATAAATACTGATGAAACATAGATAAGTAGCACAGTACGATCTATCTCTTAAAAATTCATCCACGTTTGAATCAATAACACATTTAATGATACGTTTTTTGATTCATATTTAGATAAATAAATTGGAATTGAAGGCTAAGTAGACATCGATACAATGAGAGTGTCCACGCTATGAAATAAAGTTGATAAGTAGATGTTTAATTAAAATATTTTCAGATTGTAAAAGAACTGTCTATCTTATTGATCAGAGGAAGATAACTCTTATCAAATTATGTGAGTTCACTGAAAATTTTGCATGGCCAGGTACTGCTCAAACTCGTCCTGGCACATCAAATTTTTGGCTCATTCCCCGAACACCAACTCTGGAAAATTGAAAGGAGTTTTTTTTTTATAGGAAATCCTTTGAAGTTTAGTTATAGCATATTTTCAACTAAGAATGTCAACTCATTTTGTAGATATGATACTAAATTCAATAATAAAATGGATAAAAGGTTTTTATTCTTACATTAACTGTAATACACATTTAATACAGCACTAAGTCATAGAAAATAATCATTAGATATCAATATTTACATTATATGAAAAATTAAAATAACATTACATTATATGAAAAATAAAGTTTCTTAATTTAAGCCACTTTGATACTTATGTCAGCAATAAAATAAAGTTTCCTCTCATACATAAAATGATGGAAAATAATAAATTTGTTTGATTCTGAAAACTGTTCTGAATATTAATTATCATTTTGCAATTATAAGCAGTTATTGATTATAATAAATGAAATAACTAATCATAAACGCTTAGGTCTTTTATTCAATTCCAAAGGTTCATGGAGTAATCACATCCAAGAAATCTATGATAAAGCACGCAAAAGATTGAATATTTTACGAACACTCAAATACAAAGTCGACAGAAATGCTTTAATTACACTGTATTGTTCTTATGTAAAACCTTTTCTTGAGTATGCAGATGTTGTTTGGAACAATTGTACTATTGGATAAGCTAAATTATTAGAATCTGTACAAATTGAGGCCATGAAAATAATAACTGGGTTACGAAGTGGAACATCACATCAGAAACTATATACTGAAACAGGTTTTAAACTACTCCCTTTTAGGCGTCATACAATGTAAGCACAGACTTATTTTAATGTTTAAAATCCTTTATCATATGACACCTGAATATTTACATGACATTGTTTAACCTTATATTAATGATGCTGTTCCATCTCATAATCTTAGGCAACCCAGATTTTTTAATATTCCTCGCTTTAGATATAATTTATTTAGCAATAGTTTTTCCAGATGTCATGAGAATATGGAACTCTCTTGATTCTGAATCAATCTCAGCACCATCATTACATATATTCAAATCCAAATTGAATAATGAAAGAATCCCTCTTATAAATATTACTCCTGTTTTTCTAAATTGTAGCCCTAGAAAGTTAAATGTTATCCTCTGCCAACTTAGAAATAATGCCAGTGACTTAAATTATGACAAATTTGCTGACCATCTATCTCCTGATTCTTCCTGTTCATGCGGCCATCCAAAAAAAAAAGTCTGAACACTTCTTCTTCTCCTGTCCAAATTACTTTAATTCCAGGAAATTAATCCATGATATCTATACCAGAGTTGGCTACTTAAATGTTCATTTTTTGACATCTGGAATTACTGACTTACCTCCTAAAATAAATATATTGATATTGTCTAATGTTGAAAAGTACATTATTGCATCTAAACGGTTAGGATGATGTAACTAAATGTTTAAATATTATCAAACTATTGTATATGCTTTTTTTGTATGTAAATATAATTAAATGAATTATTTTCTGTATTTAACCTAACTCCAACATAATTGTTGATAGTTGCTAGTCAATTTAGATAATATTATCATATAGAAAACGAGTATTGACATTAGAGTGTAGAGAGTGTAAGTAGGCAATTGTATGAAAGTATGATTGAGTTTATTAAAATGATATGAATAGCTTATTAATTACATATATATATATATTGTCATACTTACACCATCACGGAGAAGATTGATATAGGCCTAGCCTGTTAATATATAGATAATAAAATTGATTATCTAATTAGTTATCAGAAGTTGATTTAACCGTGCAATTTACCCGTACACCTTTTCTGTAATATACTATAACTCACTATCATCACAATTGACCACCTATGCAAACATGTTTTTTAAGCAGAGTTGGTGTTCAGGTAATCCACCGAATTGTTCTGCTGGGAATACGTTTTCCTCTGATATTGGTGAACACGCGGCCCGTTGCTCTATAAAATGAGAAATAAAATAACATCCGTTGTATAGGAAAAAACAAGAATACGATGACATCCATATCTGTTGTGCTTTACTGTCTCTGCTGGAATGTTCACATTTTCCATGTTCATATTTTTAATCACTTTTCCTGACCTGACCGTCTTGGTGTCCTACAAGAAACTTTTTTCGGGTTATGCATCAAGAATATACATACAGTACAACCGTCTCATATGATAAACATACTCAAATGCAATTTCACCTGAAAGTTTTCTTTTATGGAATTCAAGTCAAACTCCTCTAATTCCGCCCAGCTGAGCACTAGGTAATACTTTCTATCCTTCTTATTAATATGTAGAAAGAGTTTATTTGCTCCTTCGAAAAAGTTGTACGAAATCGTAATATGGGCATACCGCCCTTTTCAAATTCTCTTATTTCCACAATGCCATAAAGGCTTTTCTGAGCCATGATGATGTTTGGTGCCAAACCCACCACTCCTGACTCTCCGGACTCCACCATTCCGAACTCTCCGGACTCCACCATTCCGAACTATCCGGACTCCACCATTCCGACCTCTCAGGACACCTCAACGCCGGACTCTCCGGACACCACCACTCCTGACTCTCCGGACTCCACCATTCCGACTTCTCAGGACACCTCCACTCCGGACTCTCCGGACTCTCCGGACTCTCCGGACTCCACCATTCCGAACTCTCAGGACACCACCACTCCGACCTCTCAGGACACCTCAACGCCGGACTCTCCGGACACCACCACTCCTGACTCTCCGGACTCCACTTTTCCGAACTCTCCGGACACCTCCACTCCGAACTCTCCGGACTCCACCATTCCGACTTCTCAGGACACCTCCACTCCGGACTCTCCGGACTCTCCGGACTCCACCACTCCGACCTCTCAGGACACCACCACTCCGGACTCTTCGGACTCCTCCATTCCTGACTCTCAGGACTCCATCGAAGTGTTCCCCTTAGTTGTGGGGGTGTTGGTGTCTCTATCTGCCGATATTTATAATTATCTTTAAAATTAAAATCGCATAATTAAATTTATAGTTCATTAATTGAAGGTATTATAAGAAACAAATATGTTATATTGATAATATTCTGAATTCAAACCTCCTCAACCATAATTTTTGTTTAATAAGTACAAGTCACAGACTATCATAAGATAAAATGTTCGATATAAAATTATACATAGTTTAGTCACTTATTTCCCAGTTATATGAAAAATATAAAAGTGTCAAATTTATTTTCAGTTGTAATACTTGCGGTTCTGGTCATCAGACAATGGCGCAGGCGACAACGACGGTGGAGGACGTACAGGGTTAGAGAGGACCTTGAAGTCTGTAAGTAAAATAAAAAAATGTGATTTCATAAGATTTTAACCATATAATGTATGTGAGTTGTCTCCCCTAGATCATTAACATTAAGTCTGTGTTGTATGTAATTAAGTACTTTTTCTATTCTTCACAGTCACAAACAAAGGGGATGAAGATGAAGGTATGTTAAATTCTTATAATATATTCCCAATTGATAATGATTCGTTTCTGTTATTTTCAAAACACATATCTATTTAAAAGTGCATACAGTCAAATCCATCATAGCAGGCACCCTTATATATTGGACAATGCTATGAATCCTCAATGAAAATCTCTTTAATAATACGTGTAAAGCGAGCACTTACCTTATACAAAAAAATAAAAGTTGTGTCAGATGAAAATTGAAAATTAATAATTAATCTTGTTTTGTAGATGAGTAGAAAAATACTGTAATAAAACTTTATTCACACTTGGATTAAAAGAGACTTAAATTGTTGAACATATTTTCCTCTTTATAAAGGACACCTCTCTATAAAGGACACTTTTGTCTTGTTCCTTTGACTGGATATTTAAATGAGTATATATTTAATATCTAGAGAATATAGAAATGGATGTGATCCCGGTCCTGATCCCGGCCCCGCCTTAGACCGTCACACCTCCAGCATCAGGTAAGTTATAGAGTTTAGTGTAGATCTTCCTACTTTAAATGATACATGCTCATTGATAATGATGCGATTTACAAAGTCTTGGTTAATATTAACTGATGTATATAATTAAATTTAATTTTCAGTTACATTTAAATTTGACAGTGCATATGGCACTCTTGTAAAGGTTGAGGCAGACGTGGAGGAGGAGGAGGAGGAGGAGAATCCATTCGAGGGTGTGTAGAAAATGATTTTATTTTGAAATTGTAGTTGAGGTGGAGGTGGAACAACTACCACGCAGAAAAACTACCTTCTGAGAAATCGTCTGCACTGAATTCGTTGAATTCTGTGATATAGATTTTGTGATGTTTTATTATGATAATTACATTTAATTGTATTACTGTTTAATCTCTGTTTTAGTTCAGTGATGTTTCTTAATTGTGATAACTTTTTTTTATGTTGAATGTTTGAATATGTATATTTATTTTTACAAATAAATACTGAGGTAAATGTGTGTCTATTTTTTTAGTTCTGTTTTATAACTATATTGTGATAATTGTTATACCAATGTTTAATTATAATGTTTATACAAATTATTGCTCAGAAACTTTTTTTTTATAATTTCTTGTACGTTCTTTTACTATTGATAATTACATCTTTGATCATATGTATGTCTTATAAATTTTGTGATGTTTTATTGTGATATTTACATTTGATTGTATTACTGTTTAATCTTTTTATAAATCAAATACTCAGGGTAAAGTGTGTGTCTATTTTTAGTTCAGTGATGTTTCTTAATTGTGATAAAAAAATAAATATGTAGAATGTTTAAATATCTATATTTTAGTGTGATTATACCAATGCTTGAGATGTATTTATATTTTAATTATACATATCAATCATACACAGGAAAATGTTTGTCTTTTTTATTTACTGTACTAAATAAATGTTTAAATTTGAAAACTGTTATTTTTTTATTATTCTAATTCAACTTTTAAGAATAGGGTCTGCTCATGCGAGTCAGTGACATATATTTAAGGACTTCCACCCCTTCAATAGTATTAGACAGTGACATATACTTTAAAGACTCTCAGCCCTTTAATAGTATTAGATTGATAGTGATCGATTAAAAGCAAAATTGCTAACCTTTTCAAACATTGACTGGTGCTGGTTTTTCTCAATCTTCCTACATCGACATCAAACCTATCATTTTGAAATGTAGAATTTCACCAAATGGATCCTTTAGTTATGTATGATGTCATGTGTATGTCAGAGGGAGTAGAGCACGCAAGGGTTAGCTGTATGAAAATGGTTCACGCATTTGATTCAGTTAACAACATTACCGTGTACTATATAAGCGTTACTTGATCATTTTTCTGAAGAACTCAACCGTTATCAACCGCGCTCTCTCAAATAGCAATAAATATGTCACCCTCTGTTGACTTTACATTCTGTGATTAATAACACAACTCTGCTCTCTCAAATAGCAATGTCAACTGAAAGGTCCAGGTGATGAAAAACGATATACACTGATGAAGTTATCGTTTATATCACATGGTTTTCTTTATTAGATATCTCATATGTGTCTGTTGAAATGTCGTGATGTAACAGCATTCTATTTACAGGTATTGCTGATATGGGTGAAACTTATAAAGGTGATGATATTTGTAAAAAATATTCTTGTTCTCATGTTTTTTGTTTGTTTTTATTGCTTAACGTTCCATCAACAGCTAAGATCATTTAAGGACGGCCTCCCGGTGAAAGTGTTGGATAGCGTTACATTAACAATAAATCAACTCTGTTCTCTCATTATAACAATTTCTAGGAGAGTATGGACTTTAATAACTTTAATGTAAACAAGAGAAATGTGTGAAAATGTCTTTTGACTCCCATCTCCATTTATCACAGCTACCAATCAAGATAGACGAAGCTGGGTGATTGACGGTTGTGATTTTACAGGTTTTGGACTGTCTGACGTATAATGTCAGGCTGGATTAGAGTCTACCGTCCGTCCGTCATCCGTCACTCCTGTTAACCGTGCCATATTAAAAGGAGTTCAACCACTTCCCCATAGAACAAGTTGTCTCTGAGACACGTCTGCTCCATCCACCCACGTGTCTCGAAACCATCATAGGAGAAAGCATTTGCCTTCTCGCTACCCTCTCCACTAGAAAGTGATGCTACCTTTCATTATAGGGAGCATTTAACTCTTCTCTGTGTGTTGCCACACAGAGTTTGATCTCCTTATTAAGGGCTGCCTCACGATGCAGTCCTAATTTAAGACAGAGCAAGATTGCTCGTCGAAACCTTTCTATCCCGGTTGGGTACTTCTTCCGTCCATCGTCGTGTAGAAAGTGAGTGAATTGTGATCAGGTTATTAAGGTGTGATGGTTTCATGTACAGTTTATCACATGCTTTCATCTTAAGAATATTAATGGGAGTCGGGTCGTGCCACCTAGCTATCATTGTTTCAAGTACATCTTATCAAATACTTTCATACTAATGTAAAGAAAATACATATTCTCCAAAACCTTCGTAAAATATGAAAACATGAAATAAAAAAACAAAAAGAGATTGTTGATAGGCTAAACAAAGGGACCTACAATGTATACATAAGGACCTATACAAAAGGGACCTACAGGGACCTATAGGGACCTTTTAGTATAAAAGGACCTATACATAGGGACCTTTCATTACCTCATATTCCTAACAAAGGGACCTACACACAGGAGACCTTATATACAGGGACCTACAGGGACCTTTTATGGACCTATACACAGGGACCTTTTAGGGACATACAGGGACTTTTTAGGGACCTATACATAGGGATCATTACATAGGGACCTATACATAGGGACCTACTATACATAGGGACCTATACAAAGGGACCTTTTAGGGACCTATAGGGACCTACAAGGACCTTTTAGGGACCTATAGGGACATTTTAACGCCTGTAAAATACATCCCGATAATTTGAATTCCCTTATCCATACCTCATAGGGATGGATTCTGTTTCTTGCTTGTTACCCAACACCTGTAAAAACTGCTCTTCTAGTAAAGGTGTAAAATGTCCGCACATTTCTCATTTGCATATGAAGCCCGGATGGCAATTGTTAATGACGTCAATGACCCTGACTGACCCCAAAACGTCATAATATGACGTCACGAAGAATAGCGTGACCCCGAAAGGTCACTACAATTCCCCGACAGTCTGCGCGTGTAAGCGATATAGACCCGTGGGTCGCATAGAACCTTCCAGCACCGCCGGAAATTCGGATGTCTTGGTCTAGTTTGTAAGAATTAATAGAATCTCTCACCCCTTGGGGGTGAGATAGAGTAATCTGAATCCGAGGGGGAAGATTCTTAAGTTGCCAAACACGAGGCTTTGCGAAGTGTTTGGCAACTTAGGAAGATTTTCCCGAGGGTTGAGATTAATAGAATCCATCCCTGATTTGAGGTATGGATAAGGTTATTCAAACTAAAGGGATAACATATTGAGCAGGAGACCCGAGACTTTGACGAGGGTCTTTTGCTCCATATTTTATCCCTAGGGTTTGAATAACCTTATCCTTACCTCATATCAGGTATGGATTCTATTTCTTGCTTATTACCTGAAACCTGTAAAAACAGCTGCTCTTCTAGTAAAGCAGTAAACTGTCCGCACAATTCTCATTTGCATATGAAGCCCGGCTGGCAATTGTTAGTGACGTCAATGACCCTGACGGACTCCAAAACGAGGGTCTGCTGTTCAATATTTTATTCCGGGGGTTTAAATAACCATATACATATACATACATCACATCAGGAATGGATTATATTTCTTGCTTATTACCTAAAACCCGTAAAAACTGCTATTCTAGTAAATAGTTGTAAACTATCCGCACATTTTCCATTTGCATATGAAGTCCGGATTGTTAATGACGTCAATGACCGGACTGGCCCAAGAACGTCATAAAATGATGTCACGAACAATAGCGTGACCCCGAATGGTCACTATTATTCCCCCGCCAGTCTGCGCGTGTAAGCGATCTAGACCCGCTGGTTGGATAGACTTTTCCAGCATCGCCGGAAATGTGGTCTAGTATGCAAGAAAGAAATTTCCCACACCCCTTTCTTACACTGGACAGCTCTATCTTACAAACAGGGAAATGAGCGAAAATAGTCTCCCCTACCCTACTACACATATATTGGACACACTGATGCAATTACAAAGAGGGTTTAATTACACACGCCTTCCTTCTGGAATAATATTTTCATTGAAATCGATATGATTTTTTTTATATTTATGAAACGATGCTCGTTTTCTTATCAGAATGTGTGTTATAAAATGTCGGTAGACCTAACTATTTCCATTTTAGAGAGTTATTGACTACCACACATGGTTACAGTTAGCCGGACCTATTGTCTTACTGTCCAGGTTTCAAACACGGACAACTGACCAAAATTATACAGGGTTTTATAATATTGATTCCACGAAATATAATCCCAACGAATTAATTTCTCCCCAAACAAAAATAACGAAATTTAACCCCAACGGAAATATATGTTTTTACAGTATATAATAAACGGGGCTTGTTTTACCTCGGATTTTTTTTTCAATTCAATTTTTATTCCTTAAGTTTGACAACTTATTGGATAAACATAATTTACAATAAATTATAAATGATATATACATATATGTATTGTGTAATCAACACTCATTATCACTCCCACATCATTATTGTGCATTCAACAATCATTTACGCTCTCACATCATCATCATCATCATCATCATCATCATCTTCATCATCATCATCATCATCATCATCATACTCAGCATCATCATCATCATCAGTATCTGACACTAACATCAACAACAAACATGTAATTAACATAATCCGTAATGATACAAACATATTCTCAATGCCAGTAATATACATTTTGTATATATAAACATTTATATAATTATATTGATATGCATGTTTTACGTCACTCGTGCCTTATTAGCCTCAAATATATATCTAGCAAGTTTACGAAGATCGCTGTTATTGTCAACACGCAGTAACTGTACAAGTTTATACATTGAAGGATTTCGCCAGTAATATGATTTTATGTATTTTACTCTCAGGATATGATAATTTCTGCATATCAAAATAAAATGACATTCGTCTTCTATATCACAATTGCAGCTCATACAGTGCCTTTGTTCTCTCGTTGTGCTATTGTATCTACCAATTTCAATAGCTAAATTATGTGCAGAAAGAC